GAAAGCCTTCGACTTCACAAGTCGCATACTGTTTGCAGCATCTCTCTGCTTAGCTTGTTCCTTGAATCAGAGATGTCCCAAATAGATGGGTCCTGCTCCTGCAAGATTTCTCCAGTTTTGATCTGGAGGAGAGGCCAGCACTAAGAAGATGACGGCACTTTCAGTTGTGTCTTCAGAGTTTGCAAAGTGACATAGATCTAATCGGCATGCTTTAACTGCCCAAAGGCTCAATGCTATGGAATTCTGGGATTTGCAGTTTTGTGAGATATTTAGCCTTCTCTGTCAGAGCGGTCTGGTGCCACAACAAACGACAAATCCCAGAATTTCATAGCACTGAGCCATGGGAGTTAAAGCAGTGTCAAACTACATGGCCTCACATAGCCAGAAGTCTGCCTCTACTCTAATCTGCACTGCAGAAATTGTTATTATTATTATTAATAATAATAATCATTATTATTTCTGCAGTGCAATAATAAGACCATAGAGTAGACTGCTGGCCATGGGAAGCCCAGGCTCTTTAGGATTTTACAGAGACTTATCATATACAATGGAGGAATAGTTGGAGGGAACCCCTACTATTCTTTCCCACTTTCCTTCTCTCAGTAAAGAAGAAAGGGACAAGGCTGTCCTACTTTCACACACAACCATTCTTTTAATTTTAAAAATAATCCTGATTCCTGCAGTTGTTGTTGTTGTTTGTGTGTCTTCAATGCAACCCTATCATGGAGTTTTCTTGGTAAGATTTTGTTCAGAGAGGGTTTGCCTTTGCTTTCCTTTGAGGCTGAGAGTCTGTGACTTGTCCAAGGTCACCCAGTGAATTTCCATTCAAACTCTGGTCTCCAGAGTCATAGTCCAAAGCTCAAACAGGGTGACCAGACATCCTCCTTTCAACCTTCATATGCCCTACATATCAACCTTCTGTCCAGGAGGAATTCCAAAATGTCCTCCATTTTTGAGTATGACTGAGAACCACATTGAGTAACACCACACTTGCTTCGAGAAATTCATCTACTTGGCAGCCTGTCCTTGCTGCAAATAGGATGAATCCTTCCAAACTTCTTTTTTCCTTGGAGCAGCAGCAGACAAGACTCGCACCCAGAGCTCCGGGTGTGTTTGTTCCTGAGAGGGGAAAAGGACAGCAAGCATGTTAGACAATTGGATGTTTGAGGACACAATGCAAATGCTGAAAAGATTTCCCCCCTTAATTTTAGCACAATGGACAAATGAAATTAATAATTAAAATGTAGATTCAATCAAGGGATTGTTGCTAGTAAAGTACAATTTTAAGCATTTGTCTTGCTCAGAATTATATAAAAGGCATTTTAATTCAAAGATATAGCCATGTTAGTCTGTGAAATCAGTACGTAGAGAGATCTTGTAGCATCTTTGAAACTAACTGAAAGAACTGAGTTGGCAGCATGAGCTTTCCTAGATTTAAATCTACTTCCTCAGATGCATACAAGGCATTTTAATGAAGATAAGTTCGTCAGAAAAATACAACTGAGTACATAATAAAATCCAGTATATGTAATATAGCTATAAATAAACCATATGAAATTAATGTAGGTTAATATGTGTGTGTTTAGCTTTTATTTTGTAATGTCCTCCATTTTTCTTGAACATCCAACATTGTGCAGTGCCTTGTCCTCCTCTGAGGTTATGACATCTGGTCACCCTGAGTTCAAATCACTACACCACACTGACTGGATGGCAAAGCAACACAAAACAAAACCCTTGGGTTTCTCTTCCTGAGGCCCTTTCACTCCACACAATGATAGCACTATGATTGCACTTTAATTGCCATGGCTATGTCCTATGGAATCCTGGGATTTAGAGTTTTGGCAGAGGCACTAGAGGAGGAGCTCCCTGGCTGAAAACTCTACATTACCGTCCCTAAATTGCAGACACCAGGATTCCATAGGATGACACCAATAAGGTGGAATCGTAGTGCTATAATTGCCATCCTCTGAGGCTGAGAGTGTGTGACTTGCCTAAGATCACCCAGTAGGCTTTCCATGGATAAGCAGGGATTCAAAACCTGGTCTCCAGAGCTGTAGTACAATGCTGAAACCACCACCCCACAATGATGATGCTTTGATTTTGAGTTCCTGCATGGCAGGGGGTTGGACTGGATGGCCCTTGTGGTCTCTTCCAACTCTATGATTCTAAGAAGAGTTGGATTCATGTGTTATCTATTTTGTCTAGAATTACAATGTACACAATGATGTCATGACCCATAGCTAACACTGGGGGGCGCCGCAGACAAGCAAAAAAAGGAGGCAGAGTTTCAATCAGCCTTCATTTACAAATTTATTTGCAAGAATTTATTTGCAAGAAGGGAGTCCAGGTTCATCTGCTGGAGATTCTAGATTCAGTGTTCCCAACACTCACAGATAACATGTCAGGACCATATTTCAGTATTTTTCAGACCGATGCTGCTCTGCAATCAGATGCCAATGGACAGAAATATGTTGGCGGAATGAGATACAGACCCTGAAATGCAAAACTGGAAAATGCTGATCCCAAATATCAGATAGAATCATAGAGTTGGAAGAGACCCCAAGGGCCATCCAGCCCAACCCCCTTCTGCCATGCAGGAACTCAAAATCAAAGCATCCCCGACAGATGGCCATCCAGCCTCTCTTTAAAGACCTCCAAAGAAGGAGACTCCACCACACTCTGAGGGAGTCTGTTCCACTGTCAAAAGGTGCTTACCTTCAGAAAGTTCCTCCTAATGTTGAGGTGGAATCTCTTTTCCTGTAGCTTGCATCTGTTGTTCTGGGTCCTATTCTCTGGAGCAGAAGAAAACAAGCTTGCTCCCTCCTCAAATATTTAAACAAGGCTATCATATCACTTCTTAACCTTCTCTTCTCCAGGCTAAACATACCCAGTTCCTTAAGTCGTTTGCCTGCCCTAGACTACAACTACCTACCATTATTTTGATGGTGATATTAGACAGAAACCTTCATTTCCTCCCACCCTGTATGTTTTCCACAGGTACTTTATAAATATGTAAGGTTTGGAATTTTCAAAATACAGTCAGCCCTCCTTATCCAAAGATTTTTCATCCACAGATTCAAGCATCCGCAGCTTGAAAGTATTCCAAAAAAAAGTATACCTTCCAAGAAGCAAACCTTGATGTTCCTATTTTATATAAGGGACACCATTTTACCACCCCATTGTATTTAATGGGACCTGTGCACCCACAGATTTTGTTATCCATAGGGTGTCCTGGAACTAAACCCCAGAGGATACCAAGGACCCACTTTAGGCATTTTCAAGGGACTTGAAAGATCAAGACTAAAGTAATTGTATTTTTGAACTGCAGCTCACAGAATCTTGTAAGCATGAATTCAAGATAGGCCTTTTTTCTTCTTCTGTGCCTTCAGGTCACTTCTGAGGCTGAGAGTGTGTGACTCATCCAAGTTCACCCAGTGGGCTTCCATGGCAAAGTGGGGAATTGAACCCTGGTCTCCAGAGCTGTAGTTCAGCACTGAAACCACTACACTACACTGGCTCTTACCTATGGCTTTCTTATTCAGAAAGCCCTTGATATAGGAGGATTTCATTTTCTCTCCTTACGGAGATGTGTTAATATTGCTTATTTGCCTCTCTCTGCCTACTCTTTCTTCCTTCCTAATATTTCCAGAAACTAGCACAGAAACCAATGGATTCAAATTACAAAATGAGAGATTCCACTAAACATTAGGAAAAACTTCCTTATCATAAGATCTGTTCCAACAGTGAAATGGACCACTCTGGACGGTGGTGGACTCTCCTTTCTTTGGAGGTCTTCAAACACAATTTGGATGAGCATCTCCCAAGAATGCATTTAATGCTAAAATAGTAATTGATCTGTCCCTGGGAAAGTGTGCTATTTTGCACATATGTAATATTACACAAGCTATAGGTTTTTGTGGGTTTTTCGGGCTGTGAGACCATGTTCTAGAAGAATTTATTCCTGGCATTTCACCTGCATCTGTGGTTGGCATCTCTATGGATGCCGGCTGTGAAAGCCTTCAAACTTCACATTACACAAGCTATTCGAAAGAGGCAACAAGAAGCTATCAGTTGTGTGCTGAATTCCAATAGAATGAGGGTAGGCCCTCTTGATCAGTTAAATCACTTGATTCCATGTTATACTTCGGTATTAAGAAGACTGATCCTTAATTCCCCAGGTTATTGGCATGGTCTAAAGTCTCTGCCACTCTGCAATAGTCTCCTAGAGACCCAAACTCAGGTTTCTTTTTAAAAAAGAATACCCAGTATTAGCCCAATGCAGCCCAGGGATTATTTGCTATTAGCGGTGCCAAATGCCTTTATGTTTTCTGTGTCTTCATTTGTGTCTAATGAAGTAAAAATTGCACAAATAACAGTCAACTGCTTCTGCTCTCTGCTCTTCATTGCAACTTCATCTTCAAGTTACATATTGGTGATTAGGCATTAATGAGCTGCTGTACAATGTCAGAATGACTGGTGTGAATAATGTAACAACTCTGTGCCCAGCTCAAGGCTGTGTAGGCAAGCTGATTTTTCTTGGATCACAAAATTCATTCAACTAGAGTCCCACAAAAGAATTGGTTTTATAATCCCAAACACCAGGGATATGAGGTGAGATAATCCTTAAACTGCTCAATTTTGTTAGAGCCCTTTCTTTCCCAAACATTATTAATTTCAAATGGGAATAAAGCACAATACATGTTAAAAATGGGAGCACCACCATTTAACAGTGGGCCATGGAAACACATTGGGTGACTTTGGGCAAGTCACACACTTACAGCCTCAGAGGGTGGCAATGACCTCCTCTGAACAAATCTTGCCAAGAAAACCCCATGATAGGTTTGCCTTAGGGTCACCATAAGTCAGAAACAACCTGAAGGCATGAGACAACTACAACAACTGCAATTCAGGTTATTTCTCACCTGTATTCCTTTTAAGCAATAGCTGCAGCTTTAATCAAGGGGCTGATGGAGATCTTTCTCTCTGCTGCCGCCTGCCATCTCAGAATCACACCTGCATGGTGAAGTTGTAGAAGGCTGCAGAAGGAGCAAACACATGACATGTCCCACTTTAGCAAAGTGGCAGTGTACTCTAGGTCCCACAAGCACGCTACATGTTGATGGTAATGACAACCACTCAGACAACAGATCCAGTGACCACTGCAAAGACTGGGACAGAAACCAACGGATTCAAATATCAAAACAAGAAATTCCACCTAAACATTAAGAAGAACCTCCTTACTATAATGTCAGTTCAACAGTGAAATGGACAGCCCTAGAGAGTGGCGTCCTTTCCTTCTTTGGAGGTCTTTAAACAGAAGTTGGATGAGTGCAAGAATGCATTAGTTTTGTATTCCTGCATTGACAAGGATTACTCTAGAACAGGGGTAGGCAACCTTTCCCCTTTAAGGGCCGAGGGACTTCAGCTCCCAGAATCCCAGGAGCTATTGGCCAACATGGGACTATTGGCCAACATGGCTGAGGCTTCTGGGAGCTGAAGTCCCTCGGCCCTTAAAGGGGAAAGGTTGCCTACGCCTGATTTAGATAGTCCTCATTGTCCCTTCCAATTATATGATTCAAAGGAGGAGGAGGAGGAGGAGGAGGAGGCCAGATTTGAAAGGAAGGAAGTGGCAAACCCTCTTCTGAGTATTCTTTACTTTAAAAAAAACCTACAAAATTCATGCAGGTGAATTGAAAGATCAACAGGTGAATTGAAGGCACAGACACACACACACACACACACACACACACACTAGCTGATACCATAGAAGACTGAAACAACAGTCAAAACAGTCAACACCAACACAAGGTAAATTATAAGAAAGATGCAGTTGTGATTTTAGGTAGGGAAAATCAGATGCAAAAAATGTAGGGTGAATAGCAGTTAGTTTGAGAGCGCCAAAGATGAAAATAATGTAAATATTCAGTCTGCTTTACTGTCAAACAGGTTTCCTTGTTGGAAGGTTGCTTGTATTTAATCACAGTCCCTTTTCTTTTAAGTCTAACTCTTTGGTTTGGGTCCTACAGATTTCTTTCTTTATCTATGTAGCAGCCCTTGAAATATTTGGCTATTTTATCATGTCCTAATTGTCTCTTCTCCACCCTAAATGTGCCCAGTTCCTTTAGGATTTCTTCACAGGAGTGGCAGTGGTAGTGGCAAATGGGGTGGCAGGTCTCATAAGAACAGCTAGTGGGGATCACTTGTGCCACCTCTCTTAGTGCACCTTGGAATGCATTAGTCTTTCCAACTACCTAAGGGGCTTTGCAGACGGAAAATGGAGGATCAGGGCCAAAGCTGCCCCATGCATTGGCCCCAATCCACCCTTTTGGCGCCTGGGAAAGGAGCACCAAAATGCCTCTCCTTTCTCAAGTGGTTTGCCAAAAGGGTGCCGAAAGAACCGACACGCGGCTCTTCTGCGTCTCTTACAGTGCAGCACGTGAAGATGCTGCACAGGGAAGACATATTCAGAGCGTTTGCCATGCACAACGGCACACGCCCTGATGACATCCTCAGGGAGGGGTTGAGGCGGCTGCCATGCAGCTGCCCTCCCCTTCCCTGTCTCCAAGACAGCGCTTTGTGCCATCTGCAGAGGCCCTAGGTAACCAGCTGGCTAATGCTTTGCTTGTGATCTGCTAAAAGTAGTACGGAAGTCACCAAAGTACAGATGACAAAAAGTCACCAAAGTACAGATGACAAAAGCTAGATCCTTGTCTTCCAGTTGAAAATGGGCATATTAACCAAAGGTGATGAAAAGCACCCCAAGTTCCAACTGCTTCTTATGCATTTATGCTCCAAACAGCAAATGTTGTTCTTAAATGAGGAGTGCACATCCATCAAGAACTGATATCTCCTCAAGAGCCAGCAGACTGATCATCCCACCAATATCATTATCACTATCTCTATCTTGTAGGAACAAAAGAAGCGCTGTAGTTGATCAGTCTGAAGCCTTCACCCAACATTATGATCATACAGAACGCAACCCATTGCCAATGGAGTGAACTGCACATTCACCTTGCTCTTCCCAGCAACTGATATACAGCAAATTACTGGCTGTGATACTATAGGTGATATATACCTATCCAGACTAGTAGTAAATTATGGCCCCATCCTCCCTGAATGTATTCACTCCCCCTTTAAAGCCGTTCAAGCTAGCATACATCACCATATCTTGTGACAGAGAATTGTACAGTTTAATTATGAGGTCCTTCTTTTTATCTGTCTGGATATTTATCTTTATCACTGATGAAGCACTTGTTAAAGTAAGTCACAATACCTCTGGGTCTGATAAAAAGGAAAAACGCAAGTGTCTTTAGCAAATTAATTGTGTAGGAATCCAGAACTCCAAAACCAGGCCTAAGCCCACATTTTAAAGCTCTTGGTTGCAATGGGAGCAATGTTTTTCATTCTAGGCTTAGTAGGAATGGGGAGGGCAGCAATGAAAGAACTAGAAAAGATCCTAAGGAGTAAACCTATACAAGCGCACTAAAGTTAGAATTGTCCAAACCATTGCATTCCCCATCCCCATGTATGGATATGAGAGCTGGACAGTGAAGAAGATGGATAGGAGGAAAATCACCTCATTTGAGATGTGGGGCTGGAGAAGAGTGCCGAGGATACTGCGGACAGCCAAAAAGACAAACAAATGGGTCCTTGATCAGACCAAGCCTGAACTCTCACTGGAAGCCAAGATGATGGAACTCAAGTTGTCCTACTTTGGCCACATCATGAGAAGGCATGACTCACTAGAAAAGATAATAATGGTAGAAAAGATGGAGGGATGTAGAAAGAGAGGAAGGCCACTTGCTAGATCAATGGACTCAATTAGAGAGGTCACAGGCATGAATTTGCAGGACCTGAGCAACAGTGGAGGACAGAATATCTTGGAGGTGTCTCATCCATAGGGTTGCCATGAGTCGGAGTGGAATCAAGGGCAGTTAACAACAACAAACCCTAGTAAGGTTTTTGAATTTCTACACCTTCTCTAAAAACATTAATAATAATAATAATAATAATAATAATAATAATAAT